GTTCAGATCTATTATCCACATTCCTGGTGTCTCATTTCCTCAGGTGACAAATGCCAGTCTCTCACTCAAGCTTCTGGCTGACTCTGACCAGCGCAACTTCAGAGCTCTCCAACAGGAGGTGGATGTACTCCAAGGCCAGCTAAATGAGTGTGAGAGGGAAAAGGAACAAGAGCAGGCCTCCAGACATCCTGGTCCACCCCTGCCCCCTGGTGAGTACACAAACTCAATTTCTCAAGATTTTGTTTCCCCAGCAATAAGTGCTGAGAGTGCAGAGTTGCAATAGAGATGTAGATGAGAACTAAATCTTTAATTTCCGTGTTTTTTTTTTTTTTCCCCTCTTTGGTGACACTGGTAGATGCAAAACACAAACTAGTATACTTTTACCCAAGGATGATACAAAACATATGAACACCTCATAATTAGACATACACACTGATCTCTATTTATGCAAAATTGACCTGTTTCTGTACCTGCCTATGCACTGGGGTATAGGCACACAGTATATGTAGACATGGTCATTATTTCTAACATTCTCCTCTCTCTGGATTGTATACTTTGCACATAGCTCAGACCTTTCCTGCCTTACCTCTAGGTTCTTGTGCCCATCGAGGACTCCAGAAAGTCGGTAGACCCCTTGTGTTGCAGCTCAATTGGAGAGGCATCTCACACAAGGCAGGTGCTTGGGGCCGAGATTCAGCTCCCAGTCCAGACTCTCCCCTTTACTGGGTGGCCCCTCTACGTACAGATGGCAGGTGAGTCCTGGATGACAGTTTGCTGCAACCAGGTTCTTTCTACATGTCCCCTCCCCTTTCCTTTGCAGGTTTCTTTGTAGAACCAGTCCAGCTTCCTCAATTTTAGGTGTGTTCCTGGAAATATCTGTTCTAGACCTAAGAAGTTACCTCTTAACATTCTTCTTAAGAGATAAGTTTGGCCCAGACTTCCATGAGCTTCCTTCAAAAAATCCACTATCTGAATTTTTAAAAATCTTATTATGACCCAAAGATAATTCCATTATGTAGTCTGATCCTATCTCAAGGACAAATTATTCTATACTTGACCTTAGAATCCCAACTTCCTGCTTAGAAGAAATTTACAGAATGATCCTGACCAACCTTAAGACTTAGAGTTAAGCTGGTCTGAATTTAATTCTCAACACTGCTACTTAAGTAAGCTAAGTGATCTTGGAGAAATGGACTTTTTTCATCATTTTTAAAATGAGGATAATATGTGAGAACATTATATGGACTGATGAATATTTGTTGGATAAAAGGAAGGCTAAATGAATAGATGAAGGAGCCCTTCAATATGTCAGTCTGATTAGGGAGGTAGGCACAACTCACTGAGAGTTTGAAGTCCGTACATGCGGATATGTGGTGTGGAATCAATTGGGTAGAAGCTCATAGGAAGTAGAGATAAATGTGGGTTGAACCAGTCATTGAAGAATCCAGTTGCATCTTATCTCAGAAGGATTAACCTTAGTGATAATAATGCTCCTCAAGTCTTATAAACATTTGGTAGCATATTAAATACATCAATATGCTTTTGCTCTTTGAATCTTCTGAAAATTTTAGTTAAGTCCTACTGCCCAGTGTTAAGAAATAAGATATTCAAAACTTGAATAATTTAAGGAACTTTCCAGAGTGATCTTCTGAATACAGCTTCAGAACTGTCCTGTTACAGTATACCTGCATCTCAAAGGCAGGTGAAAGGCAGTGGAGTCTAGGTACAGAAAAATGTCCATAAGAAGAATACAGTAATATCTTATCATTGGTTAAATGCCTGCCACGAGATACTGTACTATTGTTTTTCCTTTGCATTATTCCAATGCCTTCCATCAATCAATGAAGTAGATTCTTTTGTTGTTTCTTTTACAGATATAAGTAATAAGCTAGAGGCAGAGGGTGTAGCTCAGAGACACAGCACTTGTCTATTATGTGTGAAGCCCCAGGTAGAATCCCCAGCACTGCAAAAACAAACAAAAAAAGAAAATTTATAATTTGTGTCAACTTGAGCAAAGTTGACTTAGCCCCCTAATATGAAAGGATAAAATCTACCTTACAGTGGCTTTATTATAATTAAACAAGATAATGCATATTCTATGATTAACAGGCACTGTAGCTGTTGTTTTTATTACTGTTATTTTCACAGTTATTTATTTTGTCATGGTATATAAGAAGTAAAAGAAGATGAATTAAAACTCAATTCTATTTGGCTCCTAAGTCCCTATTCTTAATTGGTCCACTAACCTGCCCATTTTTATAGCACTTTATTATCTTGTTCATTGTTGTCACCTAATGGTCTGATGTGTGTGTGGGGGGGTGCTTGGCCTAGGTACTTTGACTACTATCGGCTGCACAAGTCCTATGATGACCTGGTGATGCTAAAGAACTATGAGCAGTGGAAGATGGGCTATGGTGATGGCAGTGGCAATACTGTGTACAAGAACTTCATGTACTTCAACTACTACGGCACGAATGACATAGCCAAAGTGGACCTTTCCTCCAACACCCTAGTGCTGCAGCGCCCATTGCCTGGTGCTACCTACAATAACCGCTTTTCCTATGCTAGTGTGCCTTGGAAGGACTTAGATTTTGCTGGTGATGAGAAGGGGCTGTGGGTGCTCTATGCCACTGAGGAGAGCAAGGGCAACCTGGTTGTGAGTCGTCTCAATGCCAGCACCCTAGAAGTAGAGGAAACCTGGCGCACCAGCCAGTACAAGCCAGCCCTGTCGGGGGCCTTCATGGCCTGTGGTGTGCTCTATGCCTTACGCTCCCTGAGCACTCGCCAAGAGGAGATCTTTTATGCTTTTGATACCACCAATGGGCAGGAGCGCCACCTCAGCATCCTGTTGGACAAGATGCTGGAAACACTGCATGGCATCAATTACTCCCCCTCGGACCACAGGCTCTATGTCTACAATGATGGTTACCTAATGTATTATGACCTCACCTTCCTGACACTGAAGCACACAGTATCTAGACCAGCAGCCAAAAGGCCCTCTGGGGATCGTGCTTCACCCAGACTTGTCAAATCCAAGCCTTCTGGGTCCTGAGACCTCAGACTAGGCAGGGCATTGGAAGAAGTGTATCCTTTTTCTCATCTCTAGAAGGACCACCCTCCTAAATGGTCATAGACTCTAAGTGATTAAGAAACCTGACTCTATGTAGCTAATTATTTATGTAATTCATATTTCAATCAATACATTAAGGTTCCAATTAATAATAGTCTTTGAAGTTTTGCTTAAGAAACAAGTAGTAGAGAATATATTTAGCAGGCACCGGACCCTGGGTTCAATCTCAATCATGATGGTGAGAGAGAAATAGTCTTTTCAATCCCTAGCACGTGAGTACACACACACACACACACACACACACACACACACTTAGCTAGGAAAATGATACCCACTCATTCTGATAGTTTGGTATCTGTGTTTTAAAACTCTGAACCCAGCTCCTAAAAATTCTTAGAATTCCCAGTGTCAATTGAGAACATTTGAATCCAGTGTAGAAGATCCATGGAAGCTGGTCATTAGAGTAGGATATTGAAGTTACCATTCTTATCCTTTTTGTGGTTCCTAGGGAGAAATGAGGCAGGGTCTTGGTCTTGAAGACTAATATTTTTTAATGTCATAAATCAATCTCACTTTTACATATATAGCTGAAAAAGAGGCTTAAGCCTAGGTCCCACTCTAGGAAGTTAGCAATTGGAAACTGTACTGGATCTGACATGGACTGGGCTGTGGGTCCAGACATTCTCAATAAAGAATTCTAGGTATGACTGCAGGAAGTCTCCTAGCCAATAAACTGAATTGTTTTGCTTGTCTTTGTTACAAGTGAGAACATATGGACTTGGACTCTGCTTTTCCCTTATCCATCTGCATAGTGCTCCGCCTTCTCCAGGCAGGTAGATGCAATGCTTAAGGATTAAGACCCTGAAGTCTTCCCAGTCACACAAAGTATGAATTCACTTTCACACCACATATATCCACAAATATACATCCAGTAAGACATACGAATCTCACTCGTTTATGTACAATAACTCCATCTATACCCAAACATCAACACAGACATTTTAGCATATCCACTAATAGTTCATTCATCAACTACCCAAATAAAAATCAAACACTATCTCCAAAATTGAGAATCTGACTTTTCAGTTGCCTAAACCCGTCTGTCCTCATAGGAATTATACTAGTGACCACTTCCACTCTCACCTTTTGATTTCAGATGTCTCTCCCCCTTAATGCTTTGTCACAAAGACAAGCATTTAAAATCAAACAAGGCCCTTGAAATAAATCACCCTAAAAGTTCTGCTATGATATGTAAAAAAGCCACCTATGAACTATGTGAAGAAATCTTGTGCTGCAAGTGGTGGCTCACTCACCTTTAGCTTGCAATACTCCTACAGCTAGCTACCCGGGTAGCATTATTCCTGCTTCTTAGAGAAGAGGAAAGGTTTTACCCACCACATGAGACACTCTGAAGTTTAGAATAGCAAAATCTGGACCCCAGAGAAGAACATGATCTCCTTTTCCATATAATATCTTTGTTCTTGTTCTAGTTTCTTTTCTAAGGCCCACCTTTTGCAGACCACCAGTAAAATTAACAAGTTCCTTCTGGTGGCATAGTCTCCATTCTTGTTTTTAGGAATGTGATTTTGTCAATGGCTTCAGTAGATCCCATATTTTATAGAACACGCCTGATGTTTTTACAAAGGGCCTATATGTAATGCCACACATGAAACACACATCACACACACAAAACATCTGTGTATACGTATGTTTTTTAAAATCTTTTTTGTTGTTGTGGGGGAATTTTGTCTTTGTTCTTCTGGAAAATTGTCTTATTTTATAATAGAGATTTGGACCCCATCCCCAAATACATCCATTTTCCCCAGCTAGTCCTTGACATACTATGAGGCTTAAGTTGACATCACAATATCCCTTTTCTGAGGAGGTCATGGCCTTTGTGGGTGGGGCAGGAGGAGGGGCAACTATGAGGGGAGTTATCGCCACTTAGTCCACCTTGTGCCAATATGAATTAATAGCCACACCAGGCCTCAGCTGGGCCACATCTGGAGATCTGGGGTGAGGGTACAACATCAAAAATACTGGTCTCAGTCCAGTCACTCATCTGTTTTTGGACAGCAAGAAAGCTAGCCTGTGGCTTGAGAACAGAACACCCACAGCGAAGGCCAGCAGAAACATTTGCCTGCCCTCACCCCTCTGCCCCTGCTTCTACTCACTCCCCATCTGCCCACCCACTAAGTTCCATGACGCATGTCATCTCTCGAACACCCAAAATGCCCCAGAGAGGGCGTTCTTCAGGTCTGCCTGCAGACAGGACCATCTCCAGTGTTACTCGAGTGATAGTGAAGACACCAGGCAACCTGAAAGACTTTATAGTAGCTGATGACACCTCAGTGAGGCAGTTCAAGGAGAAGCTATCGGCTCACTTCAAATGTCAAATGGATCAACTAGTGCTGGTCTTCATGGGCCGCCTTCTCAAAGACCATGACACACTGAGCCAGAGGGGCATCGTAGATGGCCACACCATCCATCTGGTCATCAAGTCCAAGCACGGTTCCAGATCCCTGGCCCATTCCTCCAGGAACCTGCCAGTCAGCGAGCCCTGCCATGGGGACAGAAACACCAAAGGAAATAGCAGTGGGGTATGCAAATCTGCCAGCATGAGTCAAACACCCACAGAATCAGACCTCTTTGTGAAGACTGATGCACCCAAAGTGCGTACGCAGGACTTGAAAGTAGACACTTCGGAGTGTATAGCACGGATACTGGAGAATCCTAATATCCAACGGCTTCAGTCCAACATGGAGTATATGCGGCAGTTCATCTCCGAACACCCAGACATGCAACAATTGATGCAGCAGAATCCAGAAGTCTCCCATCTCCTTGACAATTCCGAGATCCTATATCAGACTCTGGAGTTAGCCAGGAATCTTGCCGTCATTCAAGAGATAATGCAGACCCAGCAGCCTGCACAGAACCCTGAGCATCCACTGAATACACTGGGTTTTGAGACAATTCCAGGTGGGAATAATGCCTTGAGTCAGAGCTACACTGATTTCAATGACCGAATGCTCAACAATTTGAAAGATCCTTTTGGGGGCAACCCTTTCACAGCTCTCCTGGCAGGACAAGCACCAGAACAGCTACAGACTTCACCCACAATTCTACCACCATCTCAGGAATGGCGTGACCAGCTCCCACAGCTCCCTACAACGAAAGTCATCTATACTAGTTCCCGTGGTTTTTCCTCCATCTCAACTAATGGCATCTCAACCAATGCCACCCCAAACAGAGTCAACCATACTTCCACGATCTCGACCAACGACCAAAGCCCTGTCCATGACACTGAGATAGCAGCCTTGCCTAGTAAAGAAGTTACCCAAAAGTCTCAAGAGGAAGACCAGGATGCCACTATCTCTATAGATAGTCCTGAACAGAAGTTGGAGGAAGATCCCCAGTTGTCAGATGAGCAGAATAGTTCTCAGATCGCAGGAGGCATGATGCAGTTACTCATGAATAATCCCCACTTGGCAGCTCAGATGATGTTCATGGGTATGCCCCAGCTGAATGACCAGTGGAAACAGCAGCTGCCCACATTCCTGCAGCAGTCACAACTCTCTGACCTTCTTTTAGCCCTTACTAACCCTAAAGCGTCACAAGCAATATTGCAGATCGAGCAGGGACTCCAGCTGTTGGCCACAGAGGCTCCTGTTCTTCTGCCCTGGGTTGCACCTTACTCATGGGGCCTAGGTTGTCTTTCTGCCCCCAACTGCAACTATCCTGACCCAATGCACTGGGCCTGGAATATGCCGGATATACCTGAGTCCAAGAGATCCGAGTGCTGCCACGTACCTGGAACAGTCCTGCAGAAGTTACAGTCCCTAGCTGGAGATCCTTCCCACTTTCTACAAGCCCCTGAGATTCGTTTCAGCAAGCAAATGGAATCTCTTCAGGCCATGGGATTTGGGAATCACCATGCCAATCTACAGGCACTCATTGCTACTGAAGGGGACACCAATGCGGCTATTCGCAAGCTCATGAGATCCCAGGGATTCTAAATACCACATCTACCTGTCTGCTTTCTACCTGTCTGCTGACTCATGATCACCTCATCTGCCTTTTTTTTTTTTTGTTCTTTTTTAAAAAACCTCTTCTGATGCTTCCAACCAGGAGTAGTCCTGGAAAAGGAGAAAGCAACCAATGCTTTCTTTACTGAATATTAGACCATTGGTGATGGCTGCAAGATCTGTCAATAAAATGGCTGCACCTACATGCCCTCATCTGAGGTTTGGTTTTGTTTATTTTGCAGAAAAGTGACTAAATATATTTGATATCCCTGTCTTTCCTCACATACGCGCACATGTGCACGCACACACATGCACCCCACATGCACATATTAATAAAGATCTGAAAAGAACCACAGTTGCACCTATGCTCAAATAACCAAAACATGCATATATAGCCTAACACAGGTGCAAATACACACAGATACACATAGATACCTGGAGACATGTAAAGAGACCCACATGTAAAGAGACCCACATGTAAAGAGACCCACATGTAGGGGAAGAGAAACATGAAATGCTCCTATAGAAAGGGAAAACTTACATAGACCCAGATACTTATTCATAAAAACGAATATTTAGTAATAAAAAAAATCTACATTGTTCATTTTTGCAAATGAAAAAATGGCCTTACAGGTCAATGTAGGAAGAATTTACATATTGGCCAGGCCTGGATGAGTACTTAAAATTGTGCCTCTAACTAACTGCCAGTGATAGAACTTGGATGGGTTGTTGCTATTGTTTCTTTAGCACACACAGGTGCAACTGCTGCCATTTTCACGGAATACAGTCACTAAACCCAGTCTTTTATGGGATGCAGCATCTTCCAGGATGTTCACACCCTCCATTATATCGTTTGTACCTTGTGCTTCCCACAGTTGTTGAAGGCTCACTTTCCCTTTGTCTCACCTGGGATGTTCCAGATTGGCAGGATATGCAACCAACTCTGGTTCATTTATTCAATTGTTCTATAAGTTAATAAGCTTTTAATTTAGTAAGTCAACATGGTTTTAGGCATTGGACAAACAGCAGTGACATAACAAAAGATCATTTGTGGAGCTTACTTTCTTTTGTGAAGATACAGACAATAAATATCAAGATTATTTTATAAATGTATTAAGTTGTGGAAAGTGCTCCAAAGAAAAATGAACTAAAGTCAGTCATTGTGTTGTGTACCTATAATCCCAGCGGCTGGGATTATCGTATTCATTTTTTCCCCTCATCACCAATTCTATAAAGATTTCCACATTTCAACTGTACTCTACAATTCAGACCTTTGCAACAGAAAAACACTCATGTGTGTAATGTTCTTTCTAAAGGTTTCCTTATCTTTTTGCTATAACATGTCTGTCCAGTGCCTTGCCAGCTTAGCAATGGCAAGACACTAAGCAACTCAGTGAGACCCTGTATCTTAATAAAATACAAAATAGGGCTGGGGATGTGGCTCAGTGGTCAAGTGCCCCTGAATTCAATCCCTGGTAGTCCCCCCTGCTTCCCCCAAAAAAGAAAGAAAAAGAAATGAAAAATTAATTAGGATTAGCTACTCTAAACAGAGTAATCAGGAAAGGCCGATCTGAGATGACATTCAGGTTGAAGGAAATGGAAACAAGATGCAATTCCCAGGAGAAGAATGATCCAAGGAAAGAAGGTTGTATGAAAATAAAAGCATTGACATAGGGTATTCCTGTTGTGCTTGAAGAATAACAAGGAGGTTTATGCAGCAAGGCAAGGCGGGGTGAACAAAAAACCCACCTACCCAACCAACCAAACAAACCAAAACCCCAGGGGGCAGGGTCAGAAGTATTGTGAAAATCTTTGAAGAACTGGTGAGCATTTTGCATTTTATTTACCGTGAATGTAATAAAAGCCACTGGTGGGCACATTTATTAATTGTAGACATTAAAATATATCACAAGATTCCCCCAAAATGAAATTTAAACCCAAGTGTTAATTATTCTCCACTGTGATTCCTTCAACCACACTCTGTGCGAGAAATTTCTCATTTTTCATCTTTATTTTCATAGAGACCAACACTGTTTTTCTTTAACATGCTTCTTTGATGATCTGAACATCTTTTAATTTGGATTAAAGTTCTGGCATACTTTTGGAGTCTAATAGATAATTTTATTTATAATTGCTTCTCTGTTGTATTTTAAAAGAAGAATGAAATGAGCAAGTTGTGAACTAAAGTTGTGTCTTAAAATTGTAAATGTCACAAATAATCCATTCTAAAAAAAGAGAAATTGCTCTTGAATTTTTGAGCAAAGGGAAGGTACCATGATGCAATGCATCTGTCTGGCTGCTGAGTCGAGGATAGACTGTTAAAAGAAAAACAAGGAAACAAAGAAACCAAAGAAGGGGCTTTTGCAATAGAGTAGGTAAGAGATAATATTGTCTTGGGCTAGGGTGGGGACTAGCAGAGACAGTGAGAATATAGATAGATCCTGAACTCTAAGTGGACTCAAAGATTTGTGGGATTCTCACAGATTATCTCTCCCTAGCCTTGACAGTACCATCTGTGAGAATGAAGGACAGGCCCACGAAGTTCCCAGTGTCTGGAAAGTGCACTACAAAAAACTATACTTTACTACTGTCTACCAAAAAAGCTAAGTTTTGAGAAAGAAAGGTTACCTAACATAATATTATTTCTCCATTAAGATATCTCTTTTAATCTGTTTGTCCTCATTTATTTTAAAAAAGCCTAGGCCTGGGGATATAGCTCAGTTGGTAGAGTACTTTCCTCCCATGCACAAGGTCCTGGGTTCAATCACCAGCACCACCAAAAAAAAAAAAAAAAAAAAAAAAAAGTCCAAGCTCCCAAGTCATCTTTCTAATTTCATCCCAATTTGCTATGAAAAAAATTCCTTATCATATTCAATTTTCCCCTAATCATCAATTCTCTAAAAATTTCCACAATTCAACTGCACTCTGTAATTTAGACCTTTGCAACAGAAAAAACTCATGTGTGCAACTTTCTTTCTAAAGGTTCCCTTATCTTTTTTGCTATGTCTGTCCACTGAAATTACTGCTTCTCCAGAGGAAAACTAGGAAAGCTAGTACTTAGGGTAAATATACTTAGGGTAATGATGTCCATCACCTACTTCTTTCATTCTCAATGGACCTAGAATTGGGCAGAGTCATTCCTGCACTTGTTACTGCTTCTTCACCTTAATTCTCTAGCTTCAAGACTACACAGTCCATCAGTATGACCATTCTGGCATAGTAATCACCTATTAAACTCATACTTAGCCTAATCTCTGCATAGGTAGAGAAAGGAACACAACCTTGTTGACAAGTTAGATTTAAATTTATTGCCAAAGGACTTAATCCTAACTGATCATTTCCAGTCAATGATTCTTACTAGAATCTGCATCTGAATCACCTGGTGGGTGTGTCAAAGCTTAGCTTTCTGAGCTACACTACAAGGGTTTCTCCCCCCTCTCGCACCTTATTTATTTATTTATTTATTTATTTATTTATTTATTATTTATACATAACAGCAGAATGCATTATAATTCTTATTACATATATGGAATATTTTTTCATATCTCTGTATACATAGTATACTCACACCGATTTGTATCTTCATACATGTACTTTGGATAGGACTAGAATGGGGCTCCACATTGTCCTTCCTAAATTTCCAAGTGCTGCTGGTCTGAAGACCACACACGGAGATCCATTTGCCTAGTCAATTCATTATCTTATCCTTTTAGATGCCTATTTCATATCTTTTCTGCTTTTCTAAAATCTTCAATGTCCACTTATATTCCAAATCTCAGCTGATATTTTGCCTATTTTAACAAGAAGACAAAAGAGATCAATCAAAAGGCACTTCTACCATGTCCACTGCCAAATGACCAACTAACTTACACCTGTATCTTGCACATTCTGTCTCCTGTTCTGTTATCATGAATAAATTGTCCATGTCCCTAAACCAAACTCTCTATGTGGATACTTTCTCCCAATTGCTGTAACCTATCTATTAAATGATTTACTCTTATGATTGCTTTCTTTTTCTCCTACATTATTTTCCCTTCATTATTGGATGTTCCCATCAAAATAAAAATATCATGCACTATTTATTCTTCATACATGTACTTAGGGTAATGATGTCCATCACATTCCACCATCATTTCTAACCTCATGAACACTCACTTCCCCTCCCACCCCTCTGCCTATCTAGAGTTTGTCTATTCCTCCCATGCTCTCTCTCCCTACCCCAGTATGAATCAGCCTCCTTATATCAGAGAAAACATTTGACATTTGGCTTTTTGGGATTGGCTACCTTCACTTAGCAATTTCTTCTTTAACTCCATCTATTTACCTGCAAATGCCATGATTTTATTTTCTTTTATTGCTGAGTAATATTCCATTGTGTATAGATGCCACTTTTTTTTTATCCATTCATATATTGAAGGGAATCTAGGTTGGTTCCACAGTTTAGCTATTGAAGAGTCCCATTCTTATGGATGTACATCATGGTGGGATTCACTTTGTTGTTTTCATATATATATACATGGGAAAATTATGTCAGATTATCAGATTCATTCTTTCCTTTGCCTATTTTTCCTCCCTTCTCTCCCACATTACTGTTATATTATTTCTTCTTCTTCTT